ATCATATCTCCTCTCTTTTATGTTGCTTGCTCTCTAATAAAAAAACTTTCTCTTTGTCTCAGGTTTATCAGGTCTACCAAATGGCTGCTCATTAGATTGAAAGAGGTCACTTTTATCACAAAATATTTTTTAAAGATTTGTTTGTTTGAAAAGCACAACGACGGAGAGAGGGAGAACCACAACAGGAGTCAGAGAAAGATGGTTCATCTGTTGGTTCACTCCCCAAAGGGCTACAGTGACAGGAGCTGGGATACGCTGAAGCCAGGAGCCCAACATCTGGGTTTCTCATGGGATTGGAAGGTTCCCCAGTATTTAGGTCGGTTTATGTTGCTTTTCCAGGCTCATTAGCAGGGAGCTACATGCAAGTGGAAAGCCAGGCCTTGAACCAGCACTCAGATATGGGATGCTGGCATCACAGGAGGAGGCTTAGTCAACTGCACTGCAACAGGCCCTCTCCCTTTTTCTAGATGGGCTGGGGTCAGGGAGTGGCAGAGAGCAGCTCCTGGATGTCCATTCCATTCATGCCAAGGATGCCTTTTTCCTCTCACTCACTCAAATTACAGAGTTTTTCTTTCTAGACTTCCTCCTGGAACAAAGTTGGTAAGTTGTGATTCAAAATCCAGGTCTAACCAGTTTCACTTTTTTTTTTTTTTTAATAGAATCCCGCAAAGGTCCAACAGCCTGTGGGCCAACACTGACTTTAAGAAGCTCAGGGAACATGTGTAAAACACACAATCATGCATGTAGCTGAGACAAGCATGCCAAAGTCCGATCTCTCTCCTGGGACACACTGGCTGGGAGGGACAACAGAGGAGAGATGCAGAATACCCATGTGTGTGAACAAATGTGCACCCCACACAGGGTTAAATTTGCATATGCAGGAGGAGCAACAGCATGGCAGTACAGAAGTGGACAGGGCTCTTGCCAACTCGGTGAACCTAATGCCTGAAGCGGGTATGAACTATGTGGCAGGATGTGACAGGCATGGCCTGTTGCAAAGTCCCTCTCACCGTGCATCTTGCCTGAGGACCCTGTGAGTTGCCTTAGGGTCAGTCTAAGGTGGCAGGGGGTGGGGGAAGTGTTGGGGGGAGGTACTGAGGATGGCTATAGCCGCTGGCATCATTCCAATTGCCTCCCTGTCTGTATGCATGCTTCAGCTGCCAGCATTTCTTCAACTTGAAGTCTTGAATTTTTCAGCACGGCTTCAGGCTCCAAGCTCCCCCTCCCCATCACACACCTGACCCTTACTCTCCATCGTGTACCATGGGCACACCCACTGCCCATAATGCATCAGACACCATGACATGTCCTGGCTTGCAACACCTTTACTGCAGCCACATTTGCACAAGATGCCATGGCACTTCTGACACTTCCAAAAAAGCCATCCAAACTCCCCTGATTTAAAAACTCAAGTGCTTGGCACACCACCCCCATCTTACAAATGTATGATCAGCACAAAGATCTTTCGTGATTTTTTAAATAAAAGATTTATTTATTTGAAAGAGTTACAGTGAGGCAGAGGCACAGGCAGACAGAGACAGAGAGATAGCCAGGGCTGGGCCAGGAGCATAATCTGGGTCTGGCATGTGTGTGCAGGGTTCCAAGTACTAGCGCCATCTGCTATTGCTTTCCTAAGTGCACTAGCAGGGAGCCGAATTGGACGTGAAACAGCTGGGACTCGAACTGGCTCCATAGGATGGTATTGTAGGTGGTAGCTTTACCCACTATGCCATAACAACAGCAGCCCATGCATTTTCTGAATACTCCCCTCAGATGCAAAGATTTCAATTCTTTTTGTTTATTTGTTTGCACCAGAATACCATTTCCCACAAACTCTCTATGGGGTTGCTGAGTGTTTGCTGTGCATCAAAAGAAACCATTTGACAAATAACATTGCACAGAAGTATAGAAGAATGCTCTCAGGCTTATTTGTCAGAAGTAAAGTAGAAGAAGAAAAACATCTAAACTTTCCAAAGGAAACGCTAATGCAAGAATTGCCTCATCTGAAACCATGGTCTGGTTGCAATAGCCCTGGAGAGAATATTAAAAACTAAGAAACCAGTGAAACATTGTGAAATTGCACTTGACATCCTCTCCTTGATCGTTAACCCTAATACGCTAACCACGCTCTGGCAGTCAGACCGCACTGCGGCCTGGTGTAACTGTGTGGCCTTGATGGGGTGTGTGTGGATGTACACACGCTGTGTGCAAGAGAGAAAAGGAGAACTTCGTGACAAGAATAATTAGAAACCCGACTTGTTAAGTGGTCACTATTTTTCTCATCAATGGGGAGAATATTCAGGTTTTTTCTTCTATATCTTCTTCATCTTGCAGAATGAAAACTCTATCCATGTTAAACGACTCCCCTTCTCCCCACACCCGGCCCCTGTCCAGCACCACGCGGCTTTCTGTTTCTGTGCACTGGAGCCCTTGGAAGGCCCATCTCAGGGGCCTCGTAGCGTATTGTCTTTTGTAGCCTGCTTATTGCACACAGCATCATGCCCGCCCGCTCATCCACGCTGCACTCTCAGACAGAATTCCCTTCCTTCTGAAGGATGAATCACATTCCACTCATGTACATGAGTGCTTTAAAAAGGCTGTGGAAAATTTAGACAAGCCATTCTTGCATATTTAGCATATTTTGTTTTATTTGTTCATCTGTACATGAACACTGGGTTGCTTCTACCTTTGGCTATTGTGAAAAGTTATGCAATGAAAACAGATATAAGGGTCTGGTACAGTGGCCTAGTGGCTAAATCTTCAGCTGGTGTCTGCTGGGATCCCATATGCATGCTGGTTCATGTTCCGGCAGCTCCACTTCCCATCCAGCTCCCTGTCTGTGGCTTGGGAAAGCAGTTGAGGATGACCCAAAGCCTTGGGACCCTGCACCCGCGTGGGAGACTTGGAGGAGGCTCCTGGCTTCTGGGTTTGGATTAGCTCAGCTACCCGCTGTTGCGGCCACTTGGAGAGTAAACCAGAAGATGGAAGCTCTTTCTGTCTGTCTCTCCTTCTCTCTGTAAATCTGTTTTTTCAGTAAAAATAAATAAATATTTTTAAAAAGATATAAAAATATCTCTTGAAGACCTTAATCTTCAAAAAACCTACCTAATTACTGAAAGGCAAGGTGCCAGAGAGAGATTAATTTTCTATCTGTTGTTCACTCCCTAAACGCCAGGGCCAGGCCAGCCAAAGCCAGGAGCTAAAGACTCCATCCTTACCTCTCCCAGAAGTGGAAGGGTCCCAAATACCTGGTCCTTCATCTGCTGCGTCCCACGTGCCTTTGTAAGATTGGATTTGGAGGCGGGACTCAATCTCACATCACCCACCCCGATACTGGGTGCAGTCTCAAGTTGTGGCTTAACATACTGTGCCACACACCTGTCAATACTGCTCTGAATTCATTTGGCTATTTCCCCAGAAGAGGGATTGCTTGATCTTACGGTAGTTCTACTTTTAATTTTTTAGAAACTGCTATAGTAATTTTCTCAGGGGTTCTGAGTTTTCAATATTTGCTCTCTGAAATCTCCTTCAAAAGTATTCACTTTAATTTGGGAACAGGAATACATTCTTATTTTTCAAAGAGCCAATGTGGACCTCTTTCTAGCTAGGGCCTGTTTCTGCCCTTGAAGGCCACCTCATGGCTCTGTGTGGCTTCTTTTTTTCTGGCCTACAACCCACCATTGTCCGATCCCAAGTGCTACCATCCCTTGCTGCACACATCCTCCCAGTGGTCTCCTGAAATATCCACACCGTGCTCCTTGGAGGGTTTGTGCTTGAGGCAAGGAGATCATCCTGAATCATCCATGTAGTTAGGTCCAGTCTCATCACCAAAACCCTTATAGACAGAGAGCTGGTTCCAACCGAAGGAACAGGAAGATGGCAGAGGGGAGGGGCTGCAGAAGGAAAACCAGAGATTTGGTGGCGTGTGAAAGCGACTAGGCTTGCAAATACTGGTTCTGAGCTATTGGGCCCAAGGGCAGAGGCCAAGCTCAAGGCAGCTCCTGCTGGCTGCCAGCAAAACAGTGGAGGCCTCAGACTTCTAACCAGAAGGAGCTAAATTCTCCCATCCACCTCAGTGCGCTAAGGGAATATTTTCCCCAAAATCTCCAGAAAGGAAATGGCTTGCTCAACCCTTGATACTAGCTGCTGACACCCACATTTGGCCACTAACACCTAGGACTCTGAAACAACAGACAGATGTTGGCTTAAACTGCCAAATTTGTGAGAATTTGTTATGGTCTCTTCCAGCCCTTCAGAAATGTGCCATAACTTGGAAAAATGTCAGCTGGAGAACCTGATCAACAAATTACATGTCATCTTACCAGTGGACAAACGAGTGGAAGTTGTCCTAACATTATTTTCTGAATAAGCCATCATGTCCTCTCTAAAAGGAAATACATTTGTCATACACTGAACTCCTGAATCATGCGCTAAATTTATTCTCTGTTCTTGACTTCTCTGCTTTGGTGTCATCACAAATTATTTAAAACTTTTCTTTATTTTTCATTCAATTTGAGTGAAAGGCAGAAAGAGAGAGATGGAAATCTACACGTTGATTAACTTTCCGACTGTAGAGCAATTAGGTCGGTGGTCAGGCCAAAGGCAGGAGCCTGGATGTCAAACTAGGTCTGCCATGTGGTGGCAGAGACCCAAGGACTTGAGCCATCACCTACTGCCTCCCACGGGGCTTATCAGGAGGAAGCTAGAGATGGGAGCAGAGCTGGGATTTGAACCCAGGCACTGCAACACACTTATTCAGGCATCTTACCAATGCTTGCTGTTCCAACGTATACCAATGTGGTACCAATCTGTACCAATGCTTGCTCCAAAAATATTTTAACTGTGTAATTCTGTGTTTCCATATTTTATTTGTAGATACCTTCTAGCAGTTTGCTACGTTTGCTCTTTACCAACTTCTCCCCGCCCCCAAATGTTCCTAATATGTTGATTTTCTATATTCTGACTTTACTCTGTGTTACAAAGGCTTGCTTTTTACTCACCCAGGGAGATGCCATGGTAGCCACGGTTTGCCTTGAGTTGAGATCACACTAATCTACTAAAAGAAAAAAAAGTGATTAAATTACTTACAGCTGTTGTTAAGAACACCATAAGCTGTCCAACCCGTAACTTTTTAGTGGAGAAACAAGATGCTGAAATTCAAAAGAAAAACCTCTGACATAGGTATCCCTTTAACTAAACAAGCATTTACGGAGTACTTACCACACACAAGGACACTTGAGAAAATTCTCAGACATGTGTATCGTAAGACAACCGTGCATAGATTTCCTAACAATTCTGCACTAAAACCAACTTGTTTTGCCATTCCATTTTCACCAAACTTTTTGAGGCACCCTGGTGCAAGAGATTATGCTATCCCTGTGAAGTTTCTAGGGCAACATAGGAAGAAAAAAATCTCTGCACTTTTGGGGCTTACAAATATGCTTCCTGGAAAGACAATGAAACTATTTTAAATCCACTTAAATACGCCCAGGGTGAATTTCTACCAGACCATGCTACCATTACAGGGAACAGTAACAGAGGAAGTGGCTCCTCCCAACCAAGTCAACATAAACTGTAGCTGGCTTTTGTGTGTGTCCTTCTGCTTGTTTGAGAATCTGCCACATAACAGAAGTATGTGGGCCTAGCGTGAGTTTGTTAGAAACAGACATGCGTGCTCTTAGAAGAGGCAGCCCGTTTTTGGCAGGGTGCAGAGGGGGACGGGGGCAGTTCTCTGGGAACACAGGCACATTTTCCATAAGGTAGACATCATTCAAACATGCTGGCCTAGCTCCAAGGGTCATTTAGTGGTGCAAGTGGCTCCCACCCAACCAGGGAATAAAATATTCTAAAAATGCAATGATCACTCCAGAGCAAGTTCAACAGGAAGTGACATCATAGTCCTTGCAACTATGCAGCCCTGGAAATCTCAGGCTCTTTTTAGCCCAGTGCAATTGATTCACTATTTAGTCTAAGATTTTCCCTTTCCATGCAGTAAGCAATGGATCCAAGGTGGTACCGATGTGGTCTCTTCAAGTCACACAATTTTGCTTTGAGTTTTAGTTCCCTTACTAGTAAAACAAGGGAAAGAGGGGCCAGGCAAATGGCTCAGTGGCTAAATCGTTGCTTTACACATACAGGGATCCCATATGGGCGCCAATTTGTGTCCCAGCTGCTTCACTTCCCATCATGCTCCCTGCTTGTGGCCTGGGAAAGCAGGAGAGGACAACCCAAAGCCTCGGGTCCCTCCACCCATGCGGGAGACCCAGAAGAACCTCCTGGCTCCTGGCTTCAGATCAACTTAGCTTGGGCTGTTGTACTCACTTGATTTCTCTGCTTTGGTGTCATCACAAATCATGTGAACCAGCAAATGCAAGTTCTTTCTCTCCTTCTCTCTGTATATCTGACTTTCCAGTAAATACAACAACAGAAACAAACCTTTAAAAAATAAAAAGAGGAGGAGGACTGTTGCCAGCCTTGATGTGATGACATCAGTTAGGGTCCCCTGTGTGTGGTTCATGTCAAAGTCCTCAGGGCTAAGAATTTATGCCACGCTTAAAATGGTACATAACGGATAATAAAGAATTGCTTGTTGAATGAACGATTTAATTAGGTGTTATTCATTAATAACATCCCATTTTGCCTTTGAAGAAGCTGCAGCCAGAGAACCGTAATAGCACAGTCACCGAGCTGGAAGGCGGACTCCTACGGAATCCATGCAGCCACATTCCAAACACAGGAATCTAATCCCCATGCTTCTACTTTACCCAAATGGCTGCCTCACACCTGGCCAAAGCTGGGGCCTAGTTGCTATCGTTGCTATGGATCCAGTATAATGAGCAGATTTTTAAGAATTATTACTAATCTAGCTAATTTTGAAGAACTATGTAGGATATCTGTGTCCCAGATTAGGGTGCCAGGGTTCCCAGATCCACTTTCTGCTAAGACACGCCTGGGGAAGCAGCAGGTGGTGGTTCAAATATTTGGGTCCCTGTCACACATCTGTAAGACCTAGACTGAGTATCACGGCTGCTTGATTCAGCCCCAGCCCAGGCTGGGCCACTGGGGCCATCTGGAGTGGGGCAGAGGGAATGGAGGTGATTTTCTTTTTCTATCTCTCTGCCTGTCTTTAAAAGAGATACTATAGAAATATGCCGCGATGGAGCCCAAAGGACTGAAACAAAAAAACCTCAAACATGTGTTTCCTGAAAGGGTTTACAGCATCTGCTCAATTTCCTGGTACTTCCTTTGTTTCTAAGCAGATTTCTCAATGCAACCACACAGCTCTGGGAACAGGAATCTGCTCTGTACATTTTTAAATTCCTTTCTGGTCAGTCTAAAGTCCCCACCCTCCTGAAGGCCAGCAGCACTCTATAATGTTATTTCAAAAAGGAGCAAATGTAACAAACTGTCCCAGGGCAGTCTTGCTGTGGTTGTTGAATATTACTCCTTGAAAAGAATCTGGCCCCCATAAGCAACTTTTTATCAGCAGCCAACGTGCCCTGGGTGCCCACAGGCTGCTCAGAACCCAGCTTCCCGGCCAGTGCCTCAGCAACCCGCGCCCAGATCTCCCACCTGCTGACTCAAGCGCCCAGCAATGATTCATGCCCAGTGAGCCAGATCCTGGTGTAATCCCAGCAAACGGGTGAGTCTGCCCCGGGCAAAGCAAACTTCCTGGACTCCCCACGCCCAGATCTAAACCCCCTTTCTTCTACCTTCTCAAAGAAAAAAAAAAGTAAAATACAATAGAGGGCCTGCATGAGAAGCAGGTGCTCATAGGATGCGTGAGGTTCCAAGCCATCAAAACAGAGCCCTGAGCCAGCCTCACCCGAGGCCCGGAGACCTCAGGACCACTCGGTCTCCCAGCTTTTTCCTGCCCTCAAGAACTTTATAACTGGGAAGGCCGAGATGGCTTCCGGGGCCTGGGCGCTGCTGAGCGTGATGAAAAGGGAAGCGTCCGCCATCCTGAGGCTCTGGGTCAGTGTAGCCCTGCCACGACCCTAGCTGGGCTGCTCGCCCAGGGCGCAGCACTTTTATTTTTCTGGGCCTCAGTTTCCCCTCCCTGTAAAATGCACGCGCGCGCGTTCAGGGTTGGTTCCCGGAGCCAGAAGTCGTCGCCAGCCCGTTACGCAGAGCCAAGGGCGCTGGTGCAGGGGAGTGGGGACGCGCGGGGAGCCGGCACTTACCGTGTAGGTCGGCGGCAGAGACCTGGAGACGGAGGAGGGCAGGCGAGGGCGTGCGCTGCTGGTGCAGGGGATTCGGCTCCGGCTTCAGACCGGCCACTGCGACCGCACCCCTTCCTCCTGCGCCGCCCCGCCTCTGGCGCCACCTGATCGCAGTCGAGGAGGGGAAGCCGCACCCCTGGAATGCCGCCCGCCCCCCAAGTACTCCAGCCCCGCGCCTTTCCCTCACCACCCCGCCTCTCTGAGCTTCCAGGTCCTCACCCCACATCTCTGCTTTATTCACAGGAAGTTCTACAAGGTCACTGCCATGGCGTGGCTAGTTTTACTCTAAAGCAAAGGAGTTCCTGCCTCCCAGGGACTCCACTGCCAGCTGAGGTGGACACCAAAGGCTACTAACGTTGACTTAGTGAGGGCCAACCCGCTGTCTTTACAGTAATTGTCTTCACTTTATGGAGAAACAGACCCAGGGCTTCCATTTCAGTCACACCTGATGGTCAAAGCACGGAAGACCTATTGGTCTGAGGTTGTTTCATCTTCTACAACACAGCTGGCTGTCAGGAAATAAGGACAGGGCATGGTAAAATGCAGAAATGATATTTGACAGCAATAGGCATCAGAATCGGATGCAGAAAAGGCAGGAATGTTGGAACTATCAGACCGGATTTTAAAACAACCATGGTTAAGCAGCTAAGGGCTATAAGGAAAAAAAAAAAAAAAAAAAAAAAAAAAAAACAGCCTGCAAGAACGGATACCCGGGCGGTGTGAGGGGAGAGATGAAAATTTAGAGAAAGCACCAGAAAGGCACACTGGAAACTACTCAGCTGAAATCAACCAAGCTGAAAAAGACAGGCACTAAGACCTCACTCACACGTCAATCTGAAAGAGTGGCAGTTGAGAACATGGTGGTTACCAGGGGATGGCAAGAACGGGGTGAAGATGGGGGTGGGGATGAAGACTGGGAACCATTGTTGAGGGGAAGCCGAGTTATAATTGGGCAGAAGGAACACATTCTGAGCGTTTTATCAATATCCATTACAGGAAGGCTTTATTAACACGAACACACACAATCTATGTGCAAAGCAGTAAGGAATTGAAATCTCCATGTTGTAACACACAGGTGCAGCTTGCCAGCCAGGACTGAAAGAATGCTGGAAGAAGATGGTAGCAGATCGGGTCCCGGGGTGAAGGCCTCTTCACAGGCAAGGGGGGCCCAAAAACCAAAAACCAAAAAACAAAACTAGTAGTCACAATGGGTGACCACAGATAGCGTTCTGTTTATTTCTCTACACAAAAAGGATTTTGAATATTTTTTTTAAAGATTTATTTTTATTATTTTTTATTGGAAAGGCGGATATACAGAGAGGAGAGACAGAGAGGAAGATCTTCCGTCAGATGATTCACTCCCCAAGTGAGCGCAACGGGCCGATACTATGCCAATCCGAAGCCAGGAGCCTCTTCCGGGTCTCCCACGTGGGTGCAGGTTCCCAAAGCTTTGGGCCGTCCTCGACTGCTTTCCCAGACCACAGGCAGGGAGCTGGATGGGAAGCGGGGCTGCCGGGATTAGAACCGGCGCCCATGTGGGATCCCAGGCGTGCAAGGCGAGGACCTTAACCACTTGCGCCACCGTGCCGGGCCCTGAATATTTTTGCTATAAAGAAATATTAAATATTTGAGGAGATAAATGTGGACACCCTAACTGGACATTGCAGACATTACATCGTACCTTCTAAGCAGGTTCAATCTTTATGTATCAGTTCAATTTTTAAAAAATTTTACAGAGAGAAAGATTTTTCCATCTGCTGATTCAATCCACATGTGGCTTCAATGGCAGGAACTGAGCCAATCTGAAACCATGAGCCAGGAGCTTCTTCCAGGTCTCCCTCGTGGGTGCAGGGTCCCAAGGCTTTGGGCCATTCTCCACTGCTTTCCCAGGCCACAAGCAGGGAGCTGGATGGGAACAAGAGCAGCCAGGACATGAACCAGCACCCAAATGGGATCCCAGCGTGTGCAAGGCAAGGATTTTAGCTACTAGGCTACTGTGCCGGGCCCAAATTAATTTTTCAAATTGAATTTCAAGGAAAATTTGAAAGAGAAGAGACAGTGAAGCACTATAAGCTTCATAAACATCAAGACTGGGATAGTCAGACAAAGCGGCAGCATAATTTGAACTGGTAGTGAACAACATTCAACAAATTCTTCTTTAAAAATATGTGTTTGGTTATTTGAAAGGCAGAAAGATAAAGAGGGAGTGACAAAGAATGTTCTTCCATCTGCTGGTTCCCAAATGGTCAGAGCAGGCAGGGCTGGGTGAGGCTGAAGTCAGGAGCCTGGAGCTCAGGCACGATGTTCCTGGGCTCAAGGACGTGAGCCATCTTCTGCTGCTTTCCCAGGTGCGAAAGCAGGGGCTGGAGTAGAAGCAGGGCAGCTGGGACTCAATGCAGCAATGTGACAGGAGGTGCTAGTGTCACAGGCAGCGACTTCACTCACTGTGTCATGACACTTGCCTCCCCATTTACAATTTCAATTACGGTTTAGCTTTCCTTATGCCCGTCCCTGTTATCCCGACAACAGTTTAGTAAAGGAACAAATGCTTAGTCTACTGGTTCAAATGCCTGCATCTCGTGTCCGACCTGGCTCTGGCTCCCACTCCAGCTTCTTGCTGGATGAGACCCTGCCAGCCCGTGGGATCACTGAGTGACTTCATTCCTGCCAGCCCGTGGGAACCCTGGCTTCTGTTTCCAGTTCCCATGCTCGGCCTGGACCAACCCCAGCCTTGTGGTCATTTGAGGGCTTGAATGAGCATCCTCTCAAATAAATAAATACATTTTGTAAAATTCAGTGAAAACAGTCATTTCAAAAAACTGGAAAGGGATTCACTTAAATGTCTGTAAATGTTTTGTTTAGTTTGTTTATAGCAGCTTAAACTGTCAGAATGCATCATTATTATTATTGTTTTTAACCTTAAAGCAAGGCCACATGTAAGAGTGCTTGGCTAACCAAATATAAGGACTCTCCACCCAGTGGGTAAGCACCAGCCTGGCCTGCTCCTGCTTGAGCTGGGGGTGCAGCTGCTAACGTTTGTAGAAATTAAGAGTGTTTCAGGTGGTGTCTGAGGTCTAAGTTCATCAGGTGATTCTGATGCAGCCTCAAGTTTGAGGCCCGTGGGTGTAAGAGGAGCAGCAAAGGAGAAACTAAAAAGATGGTGCTGCTCAAAAGGCCAGTATCTTGGGAGTCAACCACATTGACAGGCCTAAAGTGATGAGGTTGGCAAAGAGAGGAAAGAACAGTGTGGACCCCATTCTGCATCGTAACCTCAGGCTTGGAATGGCTGCCCTCACTCCCACCTCACTCTGAAACTTCCAAGGCCTGGAAAGTTCCAAAAGTTTTCTTACAAGCAGCTGGGCTTAATGGGCTAGGTTTCTATCATGAAGGAGTTAAGAACAGGTAGTCCTTGCACATAGGGCATGTTAGTTGTACCAAGTTCAGGGTTTAGTGTTGGGTTTAGGACAGCAGCTTTAACACGCATACCCTGTAACTGCCTACTGAATTTTTCTAGTTCTGATGACTGCGCACTATAATTATGTGGAGTGGAATTTTACCAGAGTGACTTATAAAACTCATTTCCCCCAAAGAGTGAGTTTTATCAGAAGGAACTGTTAAAGACTACGATGTTAGGATCACGGAAACCTGGCTTGCGGAAAAGAAGGCAGGAAAGACGGTTTGGGATAAAGCATGCATGTTTCTGAGTCAGAGCTGTATGAGAAGCCAGTCTTCTGGCATCACCTTTTCTGTCTGTTCGACTGAAAACACAGGGGAGGCTCCTTTAGCAGCCCTTCCCAACCAGATGGAGATGGAGCTCTGAGTAGGACCGCCACCCAAGGGTAAACACCTTAATCAGAATCCGGTGGGGAGCTTGGCGCCTATATGAGCCTCACAGAGCTGGGCCTGATGGAACACGGGGAGCTCGGGAACTCGCTGTGCGTGTGGCGGAGGCACCAACTTTCTTTGTTCGCCAAAGCGCAGTTTGACCCGGAGTGCTGCGGTTGGGCGGCGTGGATGACAATGGACTGTGGATGACCGCGAACTGACCCGCTGTGCCCATCCTGTGGATGAAACAGGTAAATGTCCTCCCAGTCCCGCTTCTGGGTGGTTTACTTTAGATTTAGTGAATTTCTGTGTTTCCTTCCTGGACTTCAGGCTTCTGTAGTGTCAAATGAAAGATTTTGGCGCAAAGTTACGGAGGCGTATTTAAAATACACGTTAAAATAGGAGGTGAAAACTAATTGATCAGGTGGCTGTGGGAGTTAAAGGTGCATTTGGTGTTGGCTGACGCCAGCAAGTAAAACAACCACAAACGTTTGAAGAAATTTCACAAACCGACTCTGAAATGGTTGTTCAGTATTAAACTCAGGTGTTCCTTGGTATCGGCAGGGTTCTGGTTTCCTGACTCCTGATACTGAAATCCACTCACGCATGAATCCATTGCATGAAATGGCATAGTAGTATTGTATGCATAGAACTTCCATATATCCTCCAGCATTTCAGTTTTTTAAAGATTATTTATTTGAAAGTGGGAAGAGACAGAAATCTTCCATTTGCTAGCTCACTCCGCATAAGGATACAATGACCAGCGCTGGACAAGACCAAAGCCATGAGCCAGGGGCTTTATCCAGGTTTCTCATGTGGGTGCAGGAACCCAAATACTTGGGCCACCTTCCACTGCTTTTCCAGGGTCATTAGCAGGGATGTACTGAATTTGGGCTGGAAGTGGAGCATCTGGGACAGGAATAGATTGCCTATGTCCCATTCACTGGGTCACTCTACCTGCTAGACTATAGCACTGGCCCCTCCTCCAATACTTTAAATCATCTCTATATTACTTATAATACCTAACGTAATCTAAATGCCATGTAAATACATCATTTGGGAGAAAATAAAGTTGGGAGTTACTGTTGTGGTGCATGAGGTTAAGGCTCTGCTTGCAATGCTGGTATGTCACTTTCAGACCTGGCTGCTCAACTTATGAGCCAGGTTCTTGCTAATGTTCTGGGGAATCGGCTGAAATGACCTTAGTCCTGGGCCACTGCTGCTCACAGGGGAGCCCCAGGTGGAG